CCCTACGGAAAGCTACACGACGGGGTAGGCCAGAAAGTTCTCGTACTCGGCACGATATGGACCGACCACAAGCGCGTGCTAGAAGAAAATCTCGGGCTACACCAGAATCACACCAGTTATTCTATGCGTTATCCTATGCTACGCTAGGCTATGTTATGCTATGTTATGGTAGGTTATGTTGTGTATGTTATGTTATGTTATGTTATGTTATGTTATGTCATGTTTGTTATGTAATGTTTGACTTGAAAATTCGGTTTCGCTGTCGCTTTCAAATGGCATCGACTCGGGACAAATACCTCATAAAACCCTGAAATAGAAATAAAACAAGAAACGCAATAATATATACAAATAAAGCCGAATCTCGGACGAACGAAGACCAAAACTCGAAGATTTGATAAGCAAAAATCGTGCAAAACGACCACTTATCAGTAATCATAATCATAATCGTAATCATAATCATAATGATAATCATAATCATATTCGTAATCATAATCATAATAATAATAATAATAATAATAATAATAATAATAATAATAATAATAATAATAATAATAATAATAATAATAATAATAATAATAATAATAATAATAATAATAATAATAATAATAATAATAATAATAATAATAATAATAATAATAATAATAATAATAATAATAATAATAATAATCATGTGCGTCCTTCTCTCTCAGTTTCTTCATAAAGTTACCTGGAATCCTGTTTATCAATGCAGCAAGAAGCGTGTCTTCATCCAACTTTTGTTCGGATTCTGCATCCCTCTTGCGTTTGACACTATGACTATATTGTTGGTGATCGGACTTATCACTACCGTTGTCAGCATCAACTTCCTCCTCTGTTTCTTCATCCAAATCATCATCGACGTGTTCTTGATCCTGTCTATTCTATATTGCAGATTCTCTTTCCTTTGGAACGATCTCATGTTCTTCAATGTCGTCGTGAAGTATGTCCTTGATAGTTGTACTCTCAAGTGTGGTGCCGAGGGTTGGTGATGCCATTTTTGGAACCTTGGGAATGAATTTGCTCGTCCGGGCTCAATCAGTTTTATCCTCTCACATATCCAAAACTACAATAAGTAAGATTATATTAGTAAAATATTTTAATCATCTATTTTACCAACAAATCTCATAGTCGATTAATGTAAGTTGTGATTTTTACATGCAACAAGGTGGTGCATCCCTTAACATGTGATATTTTTTTCTTTAGCTAGTCTGGATAAAATAAATAAATAAATCAACTATATACTTGCCCCAATTGTAAACCCCCATGTCGTCAATGTGTTCGCATAAATGAAAAATCCACCAATTAATGAGCTCGCCATCTGTTGCAAAGAAGCATGTTGCCAGTACGTGCAGTATGTTTATGTGCACAACATCCTCGATGTCTTCATGTTTGGTGCTCCAAATATACTTTAGTAGTTCAATCTTCAGGTTGTAAAATTTTAGTTGTTCGTTGAAACACGTTGTTATATTTACAAAAGTGTTTTTAACTCTCTTTCTTTCAAACTAAATTCTAGTTATTACTTAGTGGGCTAAGTGTCATGGCTTAGTGGGCTAAGTAGTGATTAGTGGGTTTTATTGTGGATTTATTCTAACTTCCTAAACTAACCCACTAACCCATTATCTTGAGTGTTCTTGTGGTTGGTTTCCTTGCAGATCATGGGCTGAGGAGTGGAAGCTTGGCAAGTCTATAAATACCAAACTCAAGACTCAAGAATGGGACAGATTTTCGAAGAAACATAGAGTGTGCTGAAGTGCTGATCTTGAATATTTTTAGAGTGTTTCTAGGATCTGTTGTACGTACTCTTTATGAGTACATTCTTTGAAATCTAGAATTTTTAATATTTTTCTTTTAGTATCTAGATTTGATTGTAAGAATAATCTTGAAAAAGATTCATTCATAAGGAAGAAGTTTTCGCACCTCTTCTGTTTGTATTCTTAGAATACTGATTTTAATATATTTTTCCGTCCTGTAAAGGGCAAGTTCACAAGTCTTTACTTGTGAACATTTTTACTTCTGAGAGTTGTCTTTTAATCTTTATATTTCCGCTGCATGTTATCTCAAGTGTCACAACACTTCAGATAACATCTCTGTATAATACGAATTCGGGACCATAAATTCTTTCATTCGTGATTACGGAATTTCCGTACAGCAAGTCCAAAATCTGGTTTGTGGGCTCTTTTGATAGTGATGTTTGTTGCGCCGGATCTGATTCCAAATATGAGATTGCATTCCTGCGGCGTGATTATCAACCTTTTACCCCCGGTTCTTAACGTTTTTTTTCCTTGTCGTAAAACATTATTAACTTTGCAACACCCTTTTGTGTACCTGTGGGTTGGTTTATCTGGAAGTTTGCAACATGTATTTGTAGCAAAATAAGTCCAACAATTAAATCGATTGTAGCTAATTATTCACAATTCGACTATCATGTAACCACAGTTTTTTTAGCAGACATACTTCAACCTCTACAGCATATGATCAAACGGAAAATAAGTCGATTATATAAATTATTCACCAATCGACTATCATGCAATTACTTTATTTTTTTTCAGCAGACATACTTCAACCCTTTCAATATTTAATCTGATGGGAAATAAATCGACTATATGAGTAAATGCATGGGATGATATAAGCATAAATCAGCTAGGTTAAATTTCATTTTTATACGGGTCAAAAAGCATGTTCAAGCATAAATCACGCATTAATCGACTACCAACAATTTTATAACTGAAAGGGGGATTCATATCAACATCAAGTTTCCGTATATCGTTTTGAGCTTTCTTCTTACTCTCGCCTGCACAAAACGAGAAAAATGTTTCATGCACAACACAATTGGGTTAAATAGTAGAATAAAATTTAGAAGACTAATCACTTACGACTGGATTTTCCTTTAGTCGGCATTTTCTCTTTGATCGACTGTTGTGCGTTCGTGTAGCGGCGGAAGGGAAAATAGCGTTGTACTGTGCCGCAATCCGAGTTAGTCCGATACGCAATTTTCGTAGTCGATCGCGGTGTTCTCACTAGTATTTTTCGAAGCCGGAACCCTAATAGACTACAAAGACGTCACTCGCAGTAAATGGTGTTGGGAGAAGATGATTCCGATGAAATACAACTAGGGCGGAGGGAAGAACCCTAGTTAGTCCAGAATAGAAGTTTTTGGGAGTCGATTTGGGGAGGAAATAATGAGCGAAATTTTTGGGACATGTGTATTTGAATTTCTGTAATTTGGGAGAGCTCGTGATCGTGCTGTTGAGGTGGCCGACTAGCGTGTGATCGTGTTAATGAGGTGGCAGAGGCATAAATAGAAAAATGATTGGCTGAAATTAGATATTGACTTTTCTCAAATGGTGCAAAATAGTTTGGCCATCTCCCCATTAAAAGAAGTATTGAGGGTTATAGTCCCGCAAGGGATGGCCTAGCGGTTGGAGCAAATGATTATGTGTCAATCGACCCAGGATCAAGTCCCCTTGCCAACGGTCGCTTGTCACACATGGTTAGCCTAGTGTGATTTATGTCTCTTGTATTTTTTGCAAGCTATTATACAAGAGTGTAGGTTTACCCAATGCACCTATATGGTTGGCTGCAGGTTCCTTCATTAAAAAAAATATTGATGGATCAAATAGGTTGTATATAATATAGAGTAAGAAACAGTTTGCCCCCCTAAACTACTGGTCGATTTTCACTTTGCCCCCCCAAAGAAAAATAATTTGCACGTTCTTACCAGAACTCCAATTTTTGTTGCACTGCGCCTCAAAAATGGAATTTTCAGGCCAGTTTGACCGGAACCCAAGGCACGCACGAATCACGTGACTTTGGCTGGGGCAAATATGTCCTTTTACATATATTCTTCATTTACTTCTTCCTAATCCAATTTATGTCGTCCAAACCCACCATATTGCACTCCAAAAAATTTGGCCAATGCTTTGGATATCTCTTTTCAATGGAATTTTATTAATCGAACTGCCAATTCGAGTATTGAGTTGGGGATAAAGGACGCTGGTGCCGGAGGCATGATTCAAATATCGTCGGTTGATTCCAAAGTTTTGTATTTCCCACAAGGTCACTATGAGCAGTCTTAATAATGTCGATTTTGGGGCTTTACCCAAAATTCCGCCGATGATTTTTAAAGGGCCGCCAAAAAAATTCACGGTGATGGCCCAAATTTTTACATTCTGAAAGTTTTTTGTTCATTTCGAGCAAATTGATCAAAATAACTTTTAACGAAAAATAATTAAACAGGGCAAAATATGGTTCATGTTTTCTTGTGGAATAATTTATGTTTGAACTAAAATTGATGATGACGATGAGCAATTTCTCTACATGTGTTAGTCTGCGTTGTAGATATATATTCTTGCCAACTTTTTTCACATATTTTTATTTATTCTTGTTTGATTTGTGCAGTACTGAGACTAGAACTAAAAAAGAAAATTGATTTATAGAGAGAGAGAAAAGAAACTTTGTCAAGTGCGTGTGGGTTTCATGCGGAATTTGCAAAGAAGACGCACAAGGAAGAAGGATACATTTTTTTTCTTTTATTACTTTTTTATTTTTTAAGTAATGTGACAATTTTACCCCTGAAAATCTCACGTGCGTGGCGCATACTTAAGATGCCGGTGAATATTGCCTAAAAATGCCACTTTTTGGGTATTGTGCAACAAATTAGCTAGTTCAGGTAAAAATGTGCAAAAACAATTTATTTAGGGGGCAAAGTGCAAATCGACCATTAATTTAGGGGGTGAACTGTGTTTCACTCTATAATATAATAGATTGTTAAGTATCGATATAGATATTGAATAAATAAACATCCTCATTATCATCACAACCTAATACTAATTAGACGAGATAAAGTAAGCCAAGTTAAAAAAAAAAAAGTCATATGAGTTGGCGAAGTTGATATGTGTAACTTAAAAGAATGAGTTTGCTTTTGAGAAAAATTCAATCATAGAGAACTGGAAATATAGAAAGCGACCGGTTACTAGAAAAATCACAAAAAATGCCTATTGGTAATTTGACTTGGAGTGGCGTAAAACACATACTTGACTATTTCCTTAGTTATCAGAATTAATTTTTTTTTTTTGAGAAAATTATCAGAATTAATTAACAATAAACAGATCATCCAATATTAATTAGCTACCAGTATATCATCTCATTATATTCTATCTCATCATATCCAACCATCAACTATCAAATATATCATCCCCCAAAATCCCATATGTATATACTCCTACTCAAATGTTTTTATTACTGGATTATCATCCAATATTTCGTACAAATTACTACGTCGTCAAGCGGAGATGATAATCCTAAATCATGTGCCCCTTCTTCGTGTGGCAGAATTCGCAATATTAGCTATCCTTTCCGGCTCAAGACTGATCCAATAGGCTGCGGTCATCCCAAATACGAACTATCATGCGAAAACAATACAACTTCAATATATTTCAATTCTCAAAAATACCTTGTCCAAGTAATCAATTACCACAACTACACAATCCGTCTTACCGATGCTTCCATACAATTAAACGACAGTTGCTCTTTTCCCAATCACTCTCTATCCGCCTCCGATTTTGTTGATCCTGGTTATACTTACAATAGCAAAAGATACTATGCATTTTACCTTACTAAAACATGGCCTATTACATTTATCAGCTGCCCTTATCCAGTCAACAATACTCAACATTCACTTCTTCTTGATACTTCTCAATATTGTGCAGACGGTTTCAACGAGTCGAATAGTAGACACAAATACATAAAGTTCGGCCCGTTGAATGGTTCATCTATAATGGATATGTGCAGAATAGATCGCATGGTGATGACTTCATTAGATCTAACATATAAAAATGAAGGATTGGTTTTGTCTAATCTCTCCCAAGTCCATAGTTGCCTGATATATGGGTTTGAACTTTCAGTGTTCATTTTGCATTGTCGTTCATACTGTCAAGATTGTAGGTTTACAGGGCAAAGGCCTACCTGTGTTCGTAACGATTCGATTGGTAAGATTAAAAGTTATTTTCAGCTTAAATGCAAATAATCGAACAACTTTTGCTTTCTCTTTAAAGTAGTAATTTAAAAAAATTATTACAAATTTCTTAGAATATTAAACTCTTATTATTCTTAAAAATGCAGGTGCAGTGCTTCTTAACAACCGCTTCATTTTTGGTAAGAATTCTCCAACTTTCTTTTGATTTCCATTTAATTAAGTCATCATATATGCATCTTGTGTTGGATATGTTCCAACGTGATACATACACCTATAAGAACATCTTTATTGGAGATATAATAACTAAATGATACAAATTTCACTAATAGTTTAACCTTTCGGTTGAGATGGTCATTAAATATGGTATCAAATCCCACAAGCCAAATGAAAGGTCCTGAGTTCAAATTCCACTGTCACCCATTTCAAAATGTTTAAGTGCAATGCTTCAAGTGTAATTCGCATACACTTAAGGGGATGTATTGGAGATATCTTATGTATAAAATAAAGAAACACTGGGCAACCCTAACAAACTCTAATGGTAATTTTGTAATTATTTATTTTTAATATTTTTTCTCTACTAATTTCTAACTATAATTTTTAACAATTATCGAAATTGAAACTAACCCGTGAAGAATCCTACTCCTCTATAATTATTTATTTTTAATATTTTTTCTCTACTAATTTTCTAACTATATAATTTCCAACAATTATTAATCTCTTATTTTTCATCAATATATCTCAAATCTTAAAAGATAAAGATAGAAATTTGATTTGTTAAATCATAATCTATTTATATGGATTATAAATCTTAATATGTAAGATTGAAAAAAACTAATGTTATATAAAATATGAATAATACTATATTATTAAATTTTACTATGTTAGTGTACTATATTATCTTATTATGTATTAAATTGATTATTTTTTTGTTTACTTTTGAAATAACATCTCGTGCATCGCATGGGAAAAAATGCTAGTTAATATTAAATGATACATTTCACTAATAGGTTAAGCGTTATTCAACAATCTTCAAGGACAATCATACAAAAATATGAGCGGACCGTGAGCCATTTAGATAGGTCCTTACACTTACAATAAAAACAGACTTTAGTATATTACTCACTCAATCAACACAATAACAAGACTCACTCAAGAACTCTATTTTTCTATCTACACTTTTTTGTTCTTGTTTTTTTTTTCATATAATACAAATCAAAAACTACAAAGACTATTTATAAGACTTTCCTAATATGTATCTACCATAATACATGAAATTGAACATGCAATCAATAATGTTCTCCCCTAACCTAGTACGTGGATCAAACCAAGAGACACATTCATGTATACTTTCACATTCATGAATCTTCAATACATTGAACCTTGATTAATGAATCTAGCTTAATTTCCAACACGCCCCGCCCCTAAGATTGATTCTCGCATTGCAAGTTGACTCCGCAACTTCTCAAATAATTATCTCTTCAGGGGTTTCGTGAAGATGTCAACAATTGGATCTTTGGACTTCACGAACTTCACTTTAACTTCCATCTTTGCAGTGCACTCTTCGATGAAATTATACTGAGTATCAATGTCTTTGTTTCTATCACGAAACACTGATTTTTTTGCTAGTGAAATTGTGGACTTTTTATCGACGAAAACTTCTGTCGAACCTTCTTGATCAAAACTAAGCTCATTTTATAAGATATTTAGCCATATTGCATGACATTCACTCGATGTCATTACCACATACTCAACTGAACGCTGCTACTCCAAAGTAGAATATAAAATCACTTGTACTGTTTCGCTCATCGGGATCTCCAGCCCAATCGACGTCATTATATCCGGCTAGCTTCATTATGTTCGTTGCAGGGTCGAACATACACAAAATGGTAATTCCTTTAATATAGCGGAGTAACCTCTTTGATACTTTGAAGTGATACTCTTTTGGGTCCTCCATGTATGGCTAACAGGACCAACTACAATAGAATATCTGGACTTGTGCACGTAAGATACCTCAAATTTCTAGCCAAGATTTTCAATGAGGTTTGATCGATGGACTCTCCTTCAAGGTGCTTCGACAATTTGTCTCCAATGTCAATTGGATTACTAGTTTCCTTGCAATTATCCATTTTGAACTTTTTAACCACATCTTCGCGTAGCCCTCTTAGGCGATGAAGAGGCCATCATCTCGTTGCTTCACTTTAATACCAAGAAAGTGAAACATCAACCCAATGGTTGTCATCTCGAACTCATTGGATATCTCCTTTTTAAACTCATCAAATAACTTCATATTGTTCTCCTGTAAATATCAAATCATCAACGTACAAACACACAATTAACATATCACCTTTATCGACCTTCATATACATCGCATGCTCATGTAAACATTTTTTTAATCTATTTTTCAAAAAAATATTGATTAATGTGGCTATTCCACGCCCTTGGTACTTGTTTCAAACGATAAAGTTTTTTATTTAATTTCAACACATTATTCTCTTGACAAAGAACCAAGTAACCTTAGCTTCTAGTTGGTCAATGTAGACCTTTTCTTAAAGAACTCCATTTAGAAATTTTTATTTCATATCCATTTGATATGTGTTCCACTTCTTTTGCTTGCATCCTTTGAGAACAAGCCTAGCCTTGCATCGTTTCACCTCGATTTTGGAATTCTCTTTCACCTTGTAAACCCATTTAACTCGGATTGGTTTATTCCCCGACGGTAAAGAAGTAAGTTCCCAAGTATCATTGTCCTTGATGGCCTCAATATATTCGTTTATGGCCTCTCTCCACTTCTAACGTTTTGATGTCTCCTCAAAATTGATAGATCTGTATGCAACAATAAAAAAAAATAAGTTTGGAAACTGATCGAGTCGTTCATAAATATCATGTAGTGACCTTGTCTTTCGAGGTCATTCGCTACTTGGACTTTCACCTTCGAATGAAGATGCAGGTCATGACGGTGGAGTTACGTCATCTAGGGGCTCATCTTCAAATTCCTTCATTGTTGCCTCTGATGGATAGAATTTGTAATGCTCTTTTTCTTGAGCATTCCAATACCACGAACTCTTCTTACCAGACACAACGTCTCGACTTATTCTTATTTTTTCCTCAACAGGATCACATAACTTGTATCCTTTTGATGTTTTATCTTACCCAACAAAGATATACTTTTGGCTTTTGTCATCAAGCTTCCTCTGTGGTTGGTACGGAACATGGATATGGGTAATACTTCCAAAAACTCTCAAATGTGCTATGCTAGGCTTGAATTCATTCCAAGCCTCTTGTACTGTTTGGTAAAAAAACACTCCTCAATAAAATCCGGTTTAATAGATAAACACCACAATCAATGAATTCATTCCAAACTCATTATTTTTTTGGACTGTAACATGCATCGAACCATATTAATGGATCGATTCTTCCTATACACGACACTGTTTTGCTGGGGTAAGTAAGCCAGGGTAAGGGGTCTACGAATACCATTCGCATCACAAAACGCAAACTCCACCACGGCCTCTACCTCTGCCTCAAAATCGAGCACCATCATATATTGGTTAGTCGAAATGGTTTGCCTTTGCTTGAAAGGCTTGTTCTACTTTGGGCCCTTTATTTCGTCTTTTGATCTTCTCCTCATGGACTTCTAATTTTCCCAATAGCTCATTCAATTTAAGACTCTTAATGTCGTTGAACTCTTTAATTTCCACGACGATGTAATCGAACATCGGCTCAAGGGATCAAGTATTTTTGCGACAACTTTTTTTCTCTTCCATTTTATCACCATTTCTCTCAAGCTAGTTAACGACCAAGACTACCCTTGAGACATAATCCGATTTTTTTTTTTCTGAGCCTTTCATTTTCAAAGACTCAAACTCTCCACAAAATGATTGGAGTGGGTTTACCTTATCAATGCCCTTGAAAGCATCAGTAAGAATATCCCATTCTTGGTTCCCTGCAGTAGCTTGAGAACTACACTGAGTTGGATGATGGGTAGGGCTCTTTTATCTGTCACATGGAATTCTTCGATTGCCTTCTTTTGGACTTGCCTTAATGAAGCCATATTCCCCGGTTCAACATATTTTCTCTTCAATTGCTTCCCTAACGTCTTGTCCACCAAGGAAATTTTTGTATTTGTATGCTCTATTGATCATAGTTCTCTCTAGTAAGATTTTGAAATGTAAAAGCTCCACTCGTGGTTGCCATTGTTATTTCTCTAAAACGTGACTTTGATGCCACTTTGTTCGATTGATTTAACAATACAGAGTGTATAAACATGCAACAGAATAAATCAATTTAGAGATGAGGAGTGGTAGAAGAGATAAAACACACTTTAGTATATTACTCACTCAATAAACACGATAACAAGACTCACTCAAGAACTCTTTTTTTCTCTATAGACTTTTTTTTTCTTCTTTTTGACACACTACAAATGAAAAATTACATAGACTATTTACAGGACTTTCCTAGCATGTATCTAGCATAATACATGAATATATAATTAATAATATTCTTCCCCCAACCATGTACATGAATAAAACCAAGAGACAAATTCATGTATACTTTCACATTCATGAATTCTAGATAATTCAAGAACCTTCGAAACCTTGAATCTTGATTGATGAATCTATGAATGTGTGGAGAAGATAATATAATCATAGAACGTCAAAATATTAAACGAGAATTTCGGATTGAAAAGGTAAACGAGCAAAATAAAAGATGAATGGGGTACCGATAGAGGTGGTCAAGAAAAAAATGCAGTGGGGCAATGGATAAATGATGGCGGAGCAATGTGGAAACATTGGAAGAGAGACAAAGGAAAGGCAGTAGTAGATCGGTGGTGAAAAAATTGTAGAACGATATTGGAACAATCAACTAAAAGTATGAGCATTAGAAAGAGAAATGGTAGAAAGTGAGACATTGAGAAGAAATAGGGTTTATATAGAAGTTTTTGGGCGGTAAAATGAACTGTCGCACTTAGGTATAGACAATCTCAAACCAGATGTACGGCTATGATATAATGGTCTAAAATAGATGGACATTAATTCAGTGAAAGTAGATTAAAGTATCGATGAAGGGTTATTGGGCCAAAGACCCCAATAGCAAGTTCATCATTGATGAAGATAAGGCGAAGTAGGTGGCCTTATCAAGACAATAAATGATGAGTTCGCAAGTTGCATATAAATATATATATATATATATATATATATATATATATATATTTAATATTATCTAGGGTTATGTGATATTATCTTTACTACTACTTTCTCTCAAATGACCTTCGACCATAATTTGAGCGTTGGAGAGGTTCCACTAGCTCAACTCGGTGTTGCAGATGGCGGGAGTCAAGCTTTGTGGCAACGAAGAACTCGTGTTTGGGAAGAAAGTTTTGGGCATGCAAAA